TATTTCTTGCTCAAATCGAAAATAAAATTGGCACACTGAATACCATCGACGCGTGTACATTAGTTGTTATTTGGTTTTAAGTTTATCGCTTTCTCCCTATGTATGGGCTTCATCGTGTAAAATAAGTGGCAAACGAAGAGCAACAGGATAAAGCGTTACCCATGAGACAGGTCAACTGTAGTGTCAGCAGCAATGGCAAAGCACGGAAAAGCACCCACTTCAACCGGAACCGATCAATTGGTGGGCACAAGATGACTAGAAACTGAAACTGCAGAATTAGTGTAGAGTTGATGATCACTCAAACCACAGCTAGGAGTGGTCGACAACCAATATTGATGTGGCATTCTTAGAGTAAGCAGGAGAACCCACTGATCGAACGCTATCATCTCAAAACTAGCTGCTACGAATCCCCAAAACTAGTAATCATAACCGAAAGGAGGAACTACAAAATGAACTATCTGATAGTTCGCTTTCGCTAGGTTCGAAACGATTTACAGATGGGAAGAAGATTGGAGTTATAAATTTATAATCCGTCTTTCTGAAAAATAGCATGAAGCCGGGTTGGCAAACTGCCCAGAAGCCAGCACGCTTCGCAGAGAGCACTTGATTGTCTAAAGCCAATCACGAGGCAGTCGCTGATTATATGGAGGCTGAAGTGGTTGCTACTGGCTAAAGTAGCTTTGTGGTTCAGTATGAAATGCTTCAGGTAGGAGAAATGCATAGGAAACAACTCTACAGAACTCCAAGGACCACTTGACCCCAGACAATCGGATGAAAATACAAATATGGTCTGAACAAAGCAGTCGCAAAACCAATATCTGGGACTATAACTGGGTCGGTGAACCCCTGGCAATTCACCTAGATGAGGTAGTTAAAAACCCTGAATCGAAACCAACCAAGAAGTGTACGAACCACAAACACCCACACCGTCTTGGTTGTGGTGGTGGTCACCGGCTCATTTGGCATCGATGTGGATTGGGCACCTTGGACGTCTGACTTCTTTCGATGAACTGGACACCGGCCCTCAATGGAACGCGGTTTTCACACCACCCCGCTGCCTTGAGGGTCAGACTTTGACTAGCCGAAGGCTCCGATTGTTAATTCCCTAAAAAGATTCGCCTTCTTTGCCCTGGGCAACCTGGAAGTATCGCGCCCAAGAGCAAATCATGGACCTTTTCTTCTTTTTATACAGATTATTGCATCATTTGTTTTGCACAGTCTGAACACAGACATGTGTGAAAAAATATATATGCTCGGAAAACCCACTGCAGTCCAAGTCCACTAAGAATTTTTTTAATCCCGTCGGAAAAGTGAGGTGACCCCAAAAATTTTCAAAATCTGCCTCGCAACGCTACTGGAGCCGCTGCACATGTTACTGCATACCATCTGGGGGATGGTATTCGCACATTGGTCCACTTCAATCAAGCCTTGAATTTACAAAGAATATAGATAAGACGAAGAGAATCAACCACAGGGATGTGACAGACAAACTCTAAGCAGTGATGCTATTTAACCGCTTCAAGAACGGAGATAAGCATCAGTCTGAACAAGGAGATATCCAAGGTACTGTGTTGAGTAGATTATGGGGTTACGCAGAATTGTGGAGCACCGTTACAAGTTCTCAGAACCAACAAGGCTAGTTCGGCGGCTTTCGATACGGAAGGTAAAGAAGCATCTTATGGTGCCCGCACCTACCGAGAGGAAACCGGCGAAATTCTGCTTGAACCTCGGAGATACACAAGGCCACTCGTTAGCATCGATGCTTTCTAAATTTGCCATCGATTGGGCAATCTAGTATTCACGAGCTGCATACCACGGGTCTTGACAGGTGGATTCCGGTCCCGGAATTCGGGGATAGTCATCCGTGGCGAAGATACCTACGCTTCACAAGTAGTCATTAGCCGCATCGATTATCCTGCAAGTGACAGCAGAATCCAGGATTAACACCTAGAAGGCTAATTTATTTTCAACTACGCCAGATCTAGTGAGAATCTAAGGCAACGGGTCCTACCAATACCTTGATTCCACGATACTAGCAAACGGTCTGATGAAATAAAACGCGATAAACTGCATCAGGAAAGCGTTTTGAAGCTTCGCAAAACACTGTCTACTCACCAAAATAAGCCTCTACAATGTCTTCCAAACAGCATCCGACCCATGTTGCCCACAGCTGAGAACCATGACCGCTGAGAGCCGATGTTATTTACCAATCGAGGGCTTATAGCCACTGATCCAGTTTTGACGGCGGTGGTCAAGTGGTTCAAGTGGTGCCTTGGACCTCCGGTTCGAGATTGGAATCTCGCCACCACCACTCCATTGTGGTGGTGGGCAAATTGGCTATTGTTGGCTTAATGCTGTGCCTATCTCATCGCGACCTTATGCGGTTCCACATTTAAAGGGTTAGGGCTTAAGTTTCAACGGTCGAACGAAAAGCCATTGTGACTATGGTTCATCTCTTCTATTACTCCATCTACGTTATGTTGAGTGATGAAAAAGGAGCTAAAAAGTACATCGGTAGAACTGGATCTCTAAGTTCTTAGAGAAAGATAAATCATCATCCTTTATCCGACGTCCCCGTACTCAGTGGTCTGGTCACATGTTCCTGCAAACCTTTCGAGAAGCAACCTTCAACTAACCTCCCAGAAAGGATGGTGCTGCTGCCCAGTAAGCCAACGAAAAGCGTGGATCAACAGACCAAATTTGAGTTTGTCTACCGTTGGCCCAATTGGACTGCAACTAGATATCCTTTTGTGTTAATATGGTTTCTGATCGCGTGTGTAGGCATGTCACAATGGACATCCGTAAAGCCGATCCGTCCTCAATTAAACAAGCGCATCGAGGTGAAGTGAGTTCGTTCAATCCACCGGAATCGCTACCAAATTCAGCAGCGACCCTGATTATCCCGCAGAAGTGTTAAACGCTCAGTTGTAATTAGCAGGATACATGTGACCAACGATCATTACTTTCAATCAAAGCAAATAATTCGGGTAGTCGTCATCCTCGTCATAGTACGGCGTAATACAGTGAAGCAAACTTCACTGATTACTGCTAAACTCATAGTGCACACAAGGTACGTGAGAACGTGTAAGGAGAATAGGGGCTGACTGGGCCTATTTTAGGGGCCGGAATTGAAAGTAAACCTCTATGGTCAGCACAGAGTACACAGTCAGACCGTCCATACACACTATTTTAAGCATTCTTGTCTGATAAGAATTGACAGAAAGACCGTCAGTGCTGTCGACTTGCTGCTATGCCCTTCAGTGTGCGTAACCATCCAGTTACGGGGNATTCTGGACCCCAACCTGGAAGACGAGAGACACCTACTCTACCTAATCGCTCTGTGCATTTCTTCATGCCTCGTCTCCACGTCATCTGCTGGCCTCCACTTGGCTTTCTCAAGTCTGAATATTTGTTTGATGAAGTCCCAAAAATCCGACGACTTCTAGTTTACTAACCCGCTCACCCCATCCCACCTGTGCAAGACTACGTAAGCCTCGATTGTCGAAAACCATTAGGCGACGAATGTCTTCTATTCGCAAATTCAAGATATCACAACCGTAAAGCAGAACTGATCGTACAGTGGCGCATCATACGCAACTTTTCAACTTCAGCGAAACGTCACGTCGCCGTCACAGGCGTTTTAGTGCTGCGTCATTATCATCATCGTGCAGCGAAATACAGTGAAGCGAACCTCACTGATCACTGC